CCCCAAAACCCCAAAACCCCAAAACCCCGTGAGGGGGTAGAGGGATGGAATAATTAGGAGGTGGGTATGTGAGAGGATGGGGGTTAGGGGATTAATTTGATGGAGAGGATAAGAGGGGTGAGCATTTTGAAGGAAGTGAAGGGAGATAAATGAAAGAGAAGATTTCTGTTGTCGAAAATGTCAGAAGTTATGAATGTGCTACCGTATTATGCAAGAGTGAATGAATGAGATAATCTTATGAGGCAGTTTTCGGAGGGATCTGAAAGATTGTGGAGCAAGAATTTTAGCACATGGCTAGAATACCTTGATGAAAATATGGCAAAAATAATCATCCATAAAAATAACATTGATTATTACAGTAACAATATCTGTGCCAATTACTGCACCTTGACTTTTTCAGCTTCGGATATGATTACAAAGACTTGAAGAGAGAAGGTTCTAAAATTCATCACCAATATTCCAAATAAAAAACAAATTCGAGAGATAATCATTAGATTTAAACATTTAGATTTGATAAACTTCAATTCATATCAAAAAGTATCCAAAATTGTTCCTATAATGAACAGAGTATCTGAAGCTCTGGGCAAGAAGCCTTCTCCGTATCAAACCTGTAAAGATGGAAAGTATATCTATTACTTTAGTGATATTTTTATCCTCCAGAGTACATATTCCCCCTACAAACCAAAGTTAAGAGTATTTCCAAAAGTCAACAACACTAGCAGAATAATCTGAGTTGATTCAAAGTTTGTCCTGAATGATAAACAAATTGTTATTCACGTGAAAAATTTTCTCTGTTTACCAGATGTATGCTATTTTAAATTAGAAGACCCAGATATCCCAATATTCGAAGATGTAGTAGAAATAGAGTTGATCATAAATGACCAATTATGTTCGCCTTATGAAAACATCAGATGTATAACTGAGAAATGCTACCCAAACTTACAAAGAATAGTCTGAAGTCCTGGTTTGAGCTATGCTGACAGTCAACATTATATTTTGAAAACTGTAGAGAACACAAATGTAATGATCAAATTCAAATGCTGCAATGAGATTACAAAGTGCAGTGTCAAAGCTTTAAATGCAAAATATATATGTCCAGAAGGAGGCTTGGATAATTGATTTCAGTGAGATATCGAAGCAGGGATAGATTTATTTTTGATAAATGGTGGTTATTTATATGCCTCAACATTGTGATTTATGTCAATAGATAAAGTTGTAAAATCAAAATTGACTGAAGAAGCATCAAAGAAATTTATCCAATTTAATGGTTTAGATAGTGCAGCCATCAGTCTTCACCTATTTAAATTGCTGATAATCCCTTTGGAGGAAATATGATGCGTCAGTCAAAGTGCTAGCTCATTAAAGGTGGTTGATCCGATACTTCCATGTCCACGTTCTTCCTATCAAAATAGCTTGGTGTTCTTCCACTCCTTCTTTTCACCAACCTGCACGCTAAAGATAAATAATGTGGCATCTACAATTAACCTGCAGCAAAGACCAATACAAAAGTTAGCTCCTTTCTGGTCCAAGGTTATTGTAAAAGTGAGCCTAATGTGTTCCTACTTGGGATTTCATTCCCCAAAAGAGGAAGGCTATGGCAACCTGAAGCAAGTAGATTTAGAGATATATAGAAAAGGATTCCAGTTTCGAAGACACCAAAAAATGTTGTGATAAAGTACAAGAATTTGCAGAGCTTGGCAATTTGGGGAGAGTAGAAATAGCTACTGATTTTGAGAGCATTCATACCAACTCCTCTACCTCCTTCTTGACCCAATAATTCTCCGAACAAAGTTACAGAGACTTTGCTTACCGCTTGTAAGGAGTTTAGGGAAAGTACAGAGCAGGAGCTCGGCCAGTGAGTGGGGTTTATGAAAGGGTTGGGGAGGATTTTGTGGGGGTTAAGTGGGGATAGGGGTGAGAGGGGTAGTTTTGGGGCTGAGTTGGAGAATTTTTAGGGGAGGTTTGTGGAGGGGGTTAGGAGTAGAATTTGTGTGGGGGGTTTTGGTAGTGATATGATAGGAGTTTGGGGAATTTAAGTGTGAATTGGGCTATTTAAGATGGTACTGAAGAAAGATTAAAATTTTATAATAAATTGCATTCAACAATATTAGTTTTACTGGGGTTTTGGGGTTTTGGGGTTTTGGGG